GCCCCTGCTGCCCCGCCCCCTTTGCTGCCTCTGTTGCGGAGGCAGCAAGGTGGGAAGCGAGCGGTCCAATAGTGACCCAGCTGTCCAGTAAGCCAGGCTCACCGGGGAGTTGGCTACTAGCCAGGGTGCACAAGAGCGGCCGTACTGGGTCAGACCAAAGGGCCATCTAGCCTCACCCCTTGTCACTTACATCCCTGCGCAGGACTACTGGTTTCTCTGTAATTGCTTAGTGAAATTCCGTTGTAGAACAATGGCTACTTTTTAAATCGATGAATGAGTGACCTGGCAAGTTAAAATGTTCCCCTACAGGTTAAGTGTGTTGCCATTTCCGAGGTATGATTTGTGTCCATTTATCCTTTGTCATAGAGACTGACCAGTTTGGCCAATATAAGAGGTATGACATAAGAAAGACCCAACAAATGCAGCCAAGAAAATAGTGTAATTAAGATAAATTTGCATCCCAGATTTCTCATACTGGGTTATTTCAATATGGCTATGTCTATACTGCGCCTGTTTTGTGCAAGAAATATGCAAATGAGGCTGTCTAGAATATTGCTGAGCCTCATTTGCATAATTTACAAGGCTCCATTTTTGCACAAGAGGTTTTTGCGCAAGAGCCATTCTTCCTCATTTTTTCAGGAAGAACGGCTCTTCTGCAAAAGCCCCTTGTGCAAAAATGGAGCCTTGTTAATTATGCAAATGAGGCTCAGCAATATTTTACACAGCCTCATTTGCATATTTCTTGCACAAAACAGGCACAGTATAGACATAGCCTACCTGTTTCTCGGGGACACAAGTTGCTAACCTACAGTAGACCAGGGATTTACTTGGTTCAGTACTTTGCCTCCAAACAATGACCAGGATCAGATGTTTCAAGGGGAAAGGTATTCTTAATAATGGAGATTGCCTATCTCCTAGAACTGGAAGGGACCTTGAAAGGTCATTGAGTCCAGTCCCCTGCCTTCACAGCAGGACCAAGTACCACCCCTGACAAATTTTTGCCCAAATCCCTAAATGGCCTCTACAAGGATTGAACTCACAACCCTGGGTTTAGCAGGCCAATGTAGAATTCATGCTGGGGTTTTCTATAGTGCTCGTCACTGTAATTGGTCACTATTTCCCATGTAAATTATGCATGCACTTAGTTAACTTTCTGTTGATACACTTTGGTTGTTCCTTTCTGCCACACATTAATCTTGGTCATTGTAGCAAAACTTATAAAAGAGGATGGTTTTGCAATGTGTCCCAAACATGGTCAGACTCTCTAAAGGAGAGCAGGCCAATCTGAACTCATTTTATACCCTTTAGTCTCTGGCTTTCATGTGCTTCATTTTGTGCTTTGTGGGATCTGTTGTTTCAGAGAAGTGCAGACAGCTACCCCTTGTATAGCCTAAAAAGGGCAGAACAAGTGAAAACACAACTTGCACAGACAATATTTTTTGGGGGGCTGGTATTGGTTCATCAACTGAAATAGGCTGTACCAGCAAACAGATTACTATAGAACTTGAGTTCTTGAACACCTTGGGAATGGAAGTTATTCCTAACTCTGAAAAAAACATTTATGGTTCTTTCAAAGTTTTACAATTGAAATTGACTTATTACAGCTTTTATTTTTTACTATGCAGTGGCCCGCTGACCAATTCCTCCCTTCACTTTCCTGTGAACAGCTGATTTGCAGTTTAAGATGAGCTGGGAGGGCAAGGGAGGAGCAAGAAACCAGGTGCACTCAGGGGGGAAGGTGGAGTGGAGCCCGGAAGAGGTGGGGCAGGGATATGGGCAAAGGAGTGGGACTGGGAGCAGGGCCTGAAGCACAGGGGAGATCTAGCACCGCCTGGCTAGAAGGGATGTCAGCATCTTTGGGTGGTTTCACACTCCTAATCAATATAGTTCTACCTACAACATTTTTAAGTGTAGCCCAGGCATGATGGTATAATGAATGAATGATATATTTGATGATCAAGCTGGTCCTGAATATTTGATAGCTTTATTAGGACAATTATCTTCAATTGGCAATAAAACTGTACAAGGAGTTAGTATGGGGATCAATGCACAGGACACAATGAGTTCAAGGAGACCCACCCCAAAGAGGTGCTGGATTTTTATGTGCTATATGAGTTAGAACCTCTGTACATCTTCAATGCACATAATTGTACAGTGAATTACAGCCTTTTCTCCATGACTTGGTGCAGACGAGTTTTAAATGTCCCGAGTGGCAGCTTTCATCACTTTCTTTGAGAAACTATTCCACAAGTGATAACTACTTAAGTCGTGCCTGCCAGCCTTTAACTGGAAGAAATGGACATTGCTGGGAATAATTTGCTTTTCGGTGCGATCCATTTTGACAGACCTAAGTGCACACAAGCCATACAATACAGCCTATTGTGTCTCATTGATTCTATGTACAGAATGCAATCTCCTCCAAAAGGTGGACATTGGCACTGCAGTTTATGGGTCAGTTTGCACTGAGTGCCAATGCTCACATTAGTTGCTATTATCATTATTAGCTGCTAATAATAATAATATTAAGCATGTTCAAAAATCAGATTCCTGGTATATTTTGTGAAATGCAATGTCCATGAATGTGTAATTTACAGTGTCTCAAAGGTATACTGTACTGCAGTACAGAGAATCACTATCATAAATAAAGGGAGACATGGATAAATTTATAATTAAAAATGCACTAGCTATTACAAGGATAATTTATTTACTAATGTGCACTGGAATATATTTTGTGTAATATTTTAAAAGTGACAATAAATAATAGTAAAATGTTATGGCATCTAAAATTATTTTAATAAATATTAGAATTAATTATGCTACACTAACTGCTGCAAAATTCAAATAAAATTATTTAAATAGGAAAACCAAGTTGAAAAATATCACAAACGGTATCTAATAGTTTCAAACACAGGAAAAATATAATACAAATAATAAAGGCTATTCATCTGATAGATCTTCTTTCAGATTAATTTGTAGGTTTCTGAAAAGAGACTTGGGTTCTATTCCCATCTTTACTAACCTGTGTGGCCTGATGTAAATACCTGTTGATTTTTAATAACCCTGCCATACATACAGTTTCTCTATAGTTTACGGGGCAAGCAGATTACATTATGAATCCACTTTTATTCCTCTTCTAACTTTGACTAATTTTCATCTAAATTTTCACAATACAACCAGCAATTTGCAGGCCAAAAGCCAGTTTATCTAGCCCAACAGTTTGAGTTATAGGTCACCTCAAATATAATGAGCTATTGTTCCTTCAAACTTTCTACCTATGTAACTGTAACTGAAAAACACTAATTGTAATTACTATAGTTTGTACACGAATAGTTGGCACATATTGTTTATTTGTACTACCATAGCAGCCATGTTCACTAGTCATTGATCACAACCTTGTTATGATTGGTGCTGAACAAACACAATAAAAGGCAATCCTAGCCCCCAAGAGCTTACAATCAAAACAGAAAACGAGACAACAGAGGGATAAAAACATATGGGGAATAAAAGCATATTATTAATTATGACCGACTGGTTTCAGACTGCCGATGGTGTAACTGCTGTCCATTTTTGCAGGCGTCATGGTGAAGGTGAGTTTCTGGAGATCAATGCGGTAGCTTTGTGGATGTTTGCAGGGAGATTCTTGTAAGTGTGAGGGGCAGCACTGTCAAAGGCACAAAGGTGCTTGTTTGAAAATGTAACAAGTGGACAATGGAGGCTGGTGTCAGTGGGCAAGGTGGGAGTTGGCATTTTGACAATGAATGAGAAATGATGGGGATAATCTATGAAGGACCTTGAAAATGAAGACAAGTTGCTTATGTTTGATTTGATAGAGACGGTACCAATGGAGGGATTCAAAGGGATGACATGATCTCATTGACAATCTAGGAAAAAATATTCCTGCAGCTGCATTTTGAATGGATATGAGCAGTGCATATTTCTATTTGCCAAGAGTAATCTTCTGGCAGAATCCCCCATCAATGCCACATGGCCCTAGTAAGCATATGAGCACCTGTGAGGTCAAAGCCTATAGCACAAAGCCAATTTTCAAGTTAATGGGGTCACTTTTAAAAACTGGCCACATCTCTTGATATGGCTCAGGGTTGGGCCAACCAGGGATTGAGACTGAGGAGCCAGAAAAGGAGGGATGGGAGGGCCAACGGAACCTGGGACACTGACCAGGTCTGCATCCAACCCT